TAAATATACGAATTATTTCGTCAACTTAGTCAGCATCATAGCTATATATTTTAATGCAGGCGCGGAGCTAGAATCTCATTAGGGGGTGTATGTGATAGGTCTTCCGCGCGAAGCGCGGAAGCTTAGGCGTTTCCTTAAATTATTAGGAAAAGAAGACGATTTATTGTACCGTTCTCGACTGTTAACCCTTGTCTGAATGAATTCCCCCCCCCCCTCCCGCGCGAAGCGCGAAAGCTTTGGCGTTTCATTAAATTATTATAAAAAGAAGACGATTTGCTGTACCGTTCTCGACTGTTAATCCTTCTCTGAATTCAGTTTCCCCCCGGCCCTTTCCCCCATCCCTGCGCGAAAAGCTTAGACGTTTGATTCAATTATTATAGAAAGAAGACGATTCGTTGCACCGTTTTCGACTCTTAATAAGCCCTATTTATCTGAATTCAGTTTCCCCCTCTCGCGCGGAAGCCTTGACATTTCCTTAAATTATTAGAGAAAGCAGACGATTGGGTGCATAGGCACCGGAAGTGGGGGGGGGGGGGGAGCAGGGGGGGCAGTTGCCCACCCAAACAAAAAAGTGGGGGGGGGGGGCAAAACGCATTTTTTGCCCCCCCCCCCCCAAAAAAAAAAAAAAAAAAAGCCGGAAAGGAGTAAAGATGGTTGTTCTTTTTTTAACCCAAAAGAACATAACAATAATAAAAACCTGAATTAAATCACATATACAATTCCATTCAAAGAAAAGGAAAGTTCACAGGAATTAAATTTCATAAACATTGCGCATGCCACCTATACGGTATTTATCAATGGAGGTTTTTATAATAGCGATACGCGCATATCGTGGACATATTGTGCGAGAATGGGAAAGCGTGTCTGTTTTTTTGTTATAGGGGTGAGAAGACATGAGCCCCTGAACGCTTGCGTACTGATGGGGGGGGGGGGGGGGATTTATTTCTTATTCGATACCAGTGATTTACAAATGTTGCTGTTACGACATGATTTTCGGTATTTTTTCTCCATTTTTTATGCGTTTGTTGGAAAATAAGAAATTCCCAAATTACAGTCGGGCGAAAAATACGCTTATTTAGAAGCCTTTATGTCATGGTCTGCAAAGTGGCCCCCCCCCCTCATTTTTTGAAAAATGTTAAAGAGAAAAACAAAGAAAGACGGAGAGAAAAAAATAAGTGACCTGCCAATGTTACAAAAAGGTATAAAAAAATGCTCATCTGACCGTAATTAAATGCCTAAAACCCCAGAGCTTACGAGGGCTCCGCCCCCGAGCCCCACCAAGGGACCTAAGGCGGCCCCTGGATGCTCATCTGACCGTAATTAAATACCCAAAACCCCTGAGCTTCCGGGGACTCTGCCCCCTGGACCCCCCCCCCCCCAAGGGCCCTAAGGCGGCCCCTTGATGCTCATCTGACCGTAGTTAGATATTAAAACATCTGAGCTTCTGGGGGCTCTCCCTCCCCCTGGAACACGTCAATGGCCTTAAAAAGGGCCCCTGGATGCTCATCTAACCGTACTTAAATACCGAAAACCCCAGAGCTTCTGGGGGCTCAGCCCCTTGACCCCCTGCCGTGGCTCATGCCCTGGACCCCACGCCAATTTACGCTCTACCTGAAAACTTTGAAAAACGTTCCGCGGGACCTGCATTTAGTGTGTAATTACGACTGGTGGTGATGCAGATTTTTCGTCTGCCCCCCCCCCCCTTCCGAACGTTTTTCTCATTACGTCACTGCCCCTGGAAGGTGAGCCCCCTAGAATGTTTGCCCCCCAATCCCAAACTGCTTCTGGCGCGCCTGATTTGGTGTACTGTTCTCGACTCTTAATTCTCGTCTGAATTCAGTTTCCCCTTCCCGCGCGACGCGCGAAAAGCTTAGACGTTTGATTTAATTATTATAGAAAGAAGACGATTCGTTGCACCGTTTTCGACTCTTAGCAAGCCCTATTTATCTGAATTCAATTCAATTCATTCAATATAAACAACAAATTAATTCATTCATAGACCTACGTAAACAGGCGCGTACGCAGGATTTTTCCAAGGGGGGGGGGGGGGTTAACATTTATAAATCGGGCCGAAAATTTCGCAACGACTCAGCCGACCGCTGAATAAGCGGGGGGTAAGAGGACACTTTTTTTTTTTTTTTTTGGTCTCGAAATTTGAAAATTTGACATTTTGCTCCCTTGGGGGGTGGGGGGTAAGGTCAGCTTTTTTAAGCCATGAGAACTTTTTTTTTTTTTTTTTTTTTAATAAAAAATTAAAATTAAAAGGGGAGGTCGTTTAGGGGGGATTATGGGGGGGGGGGTTACACACAAAAAATATCAAAGGGGGTTTAACCCCCCCCCCCCCCCCCCCCCCCCCCCCCCCCCCCCTGTGTACGCGCCTGTCTGATGCTGCCAATTTTTTAATTATTAATTCCTCGTATGGCCTCGTGCCCCTCATAAAAAATCCTACTCGTATTACTGTAAATACTGCTTCCTTAATTGATAATATATTTACCAATGATATTAATTCTACAGTTGATAGTGTAAGTTTGTGTGCGGACATTTCTGACCACCTGCCTATTTTTCATCTTTCTCAAATTGAATGTAATGTAAATAATGTCTCGCAAAATTACAAATGATGGCATTAATGCATTGATTGCGGAACTGTATGCTACAGATTGGTCCTCAATATATTTTTGCTCTGATGTGAACGAGTCTTATGAATTGTTTTTATCAAAGTTACTTAATGCATTCGATAAACACTTACCATATATTTAACGTAAAGCAAAGAAACCACTTATCCGTAAACCAGGCGCGGATCCAGGATTTCTTAGGGGAGGGGGCCCAACTTTCTTCTTTTTGTTTTGCTCCCGAAAATTTGAAAATCAAGCCGGCCGAAAAGTCGCTCAGTGGGGGGGGGGGGGGGGGGGGGGGGGGGGGGGGGGGGGTAGTGAGCACATTTTTTTTGGGGTCCTCGAAAAAATTTCAATTTGCACCCCCCCCCCCTTGAGCGCCAGGGGGGGGGGGGCCAAACCCCCCAAAAAAAAGATTAAAATCACTTGATTTTACATGATTTTTTCTCAAAGGGGGGGGGCCGGGCCCCCCCTGGATCCGCCACTGCGTAAACCCTGGATTACGCCAGAAATTTTACGTTTGTATTAGGAAAAAAAAATAGGCTTCATAAAGTTTTTTTGAATGATCGTTCTTCTTCTCATGAGAATAAATACAAGGCTTATAGGAACAAGGGAACCAGATTGACGACATGCTAAAAAATTGTATTATTCTAACAAATTGAAGGATACTTGTATGCATAATAATGTTAAGGGCACATGGTCTGTTTTGAATAATTTACTAAGAAAATCAA